ACTTCATGCTGAAGAGGCAAGAAGAAATAATTCACATGGAAAATTCCATTTAGTGCCTTGAGTATATTTTTAAAGTGGCTCAGTGTCTGCAAAGTGTCAACAGTCACTTGTGCTTGAAGAGAACTCATGCATTGTCTTGACACGCCCTTTTACACTGTGAATCTTAAACGTCAAATGAACAAAAGCTTCCTTTCCCTTCATCTGTATTTTTCATTAAAAAGCTGTAAAATCCTTTTTCAAGGCAACTGGTTTTACACTAAGATTTATATCTTAGAATCTTAATTGGGATGATCACTCAGTTCTTGTTCACTTTCCTAAATGCACACTTGATGCCTGTTTTCTCCCAGCTTATTTCCAAATTCAGAATCTATGTGATGCCACATAAAAGGAAACATTTGCCAGAAGAGTTTTCTTAATTGCTCTAAAATGTAACATTTTGAAGATGAGTAGAATATCAGATGCTTAGTACTCACTTGTTCAGCACTGCGAGCCTAAGCTCCACACTAAAAAACAAGTTTGCTTACCTGATTTTTTTTACTGTTGGGTGAGTGAGATGGAAGATTTAATTTTTTTTTTCAACATTTATTTATTTTTGGGACAGAGAGAGACAGAGCATGAACGGGGGAGGGGCAGAGAGAGAGGGAGACACAGAATCGGAAACAGGCTCCAGGCTCCGAGCCATCAGCCCAGAGCCCGACGCGGGGCTCGAACTCACGGACCGCGAGATCGTGACCTGGCTGAAGTCGGACGCTTAACTGACTGCGCCACCCAGGCGCCCCAAGGGAGATTTAATTCTTAAATCTATTATTTAAATTCATTTTGCTTAAAAAATAAATATATTTTATATTATATATTTATAATAAATTTATGTATGTAACATATATTACATACACAATATTTATAATGTAAAATATGGAACATTTTAATCATTTAATAAAAATTATTTATTAAATATTTAAATGATATTATTTAATAATTTAAAGTTTAATATATTTCCATAGGTCTGGGACAACATCAAAATGAGTTTTTATGCATCTGAGCATAGGTAGTATGTTCTTTGTGTACCATGGAAGCTTCCATGGCATACCATCTGGTCTTTTTACACGTATCCTGGTCTGTGATGGGTGAACTCCAAGGCAGTTCTAGATCAATGTGCCCACCTCCACCATATGCATGGTGGACGGTCTTTCTGATGTCTCTTCTGCCTTCAAAGTTCCCAGACCCAGGCCAGAGACTCTTCAGTTCATAGTGGACATGTTCCACTTCGCTAATGACCTCAGAGACACAATCTATATCACCTGCCATCTGAAGGTCACTCTGGCTAAGTCCTGGACCAGCTAAACAAAGCCTATTCCTTCATCGAGTCCTCCAACAGGTGGTCCCGAGTCGAAGGCCCTGCTGATATCTGTCGTTGTGGTAACACAGGTAGCTGTGGCCTTCTGGGCCATGCGAGGAGGCTGTCCCACCTAGAGAGACGGCAGCACAAGGCCGCTTCCCAAAATCACAATTGCAGTCACGTGACTAAAGAAGCAGATATTTCGGTGGGGCCTCTGAACCTCCTGGGAAAGGCTGGTGATCATGGTATGGAGGGGTCAGTCTCTCCTCACACCTCTGTGACGTTGGGCATAGGGTTGGCCAGGGTGGTATCCCTGACTCTGGCTACCATTGTCCTGGGTTTGCCGGGAGGTATCACACTGCTTCCTTCCCTGTGATAAGCCCTGTGTCTATTTCCCAATTAAAGAAGAAACTGAAGGAAAAAAAACCCAACTTTCCCAAACTGGGAAAGACTATGGGAAGTTATATTTCAAAGATTTTCTGAAAAAATTCCAGAGACTCTACATGTCTATAAGAGCAATCTGTGCATTCATGTAAGAGAAGGGGTGGGAGAATGAAACCATGATGTAGACAATGGTTTCCAGGCCTGCCTCGACGGCCTTGGATCACACTGCATTTATTGGCTTCCCCTGGGTAAACAGAATCAGACTCTGGGATGAGCCTTCCTACCTGACTCTAAGCCAAAGTTTATTATTTTTTCCTGACATTATTTTATTAATAATTTACTGATGCATATGGGGGCGCCTGGGTGGCTCCGTCGGTTAAGCGTCCGACTTCGGCTCAGGTCATGATCTCGCGGTTTGTGAGTTCGAGCCCCGTGTCGGGCTCTGTGCGGACAGCTCGGAGCCTGGAGCCTGCTTCAGATTCTGTGTCTCCCTCTCTCTCTGCCCCTCCCCTGCTCGCACTCTGTCTCTGTCTCAAAAATAAATAAAACATTAAAAAAAATAATTTACTGATGCATATGAAAGAAGGCCCTCTCATATCAATGTATAGTTGAAGGTCTGAGATCTGAGATTTCACTTAACTTCTATTCACAGTTCCCTATTTTTTTTCCATAAGCAAATAATTCCTGCGTTATGACTTTCTTTGACAATTTTTTTCCATTGGTATATTCAGATTGAATTTATGTTGTGACATTTAAAAGTTTTATTTCATAAATACTGCAGCACATTTATGAAAGTTTTTTCCCTAGTTTATATTAAAAACAGATGCACATTAAAAATTTATCAATATTTGGTTCCATTTAAAAAATTTAAATAACAATTACTAGTTTTCATCATTTAAATACAAAACAGTATCTGTGTTTATCTTGTTTGATAGTTTACTCCATTCACAGTTTTGTTTTGTTTTTTCCCCTCTCCATTATAAAAATGTTTTTTTGTTTCCACATGTAACCCAAAGCATGACCTGTTAAAGTGGAGTTTTATTCTCTGAACTATTTCTGAGCTCTCTGATGGATTCTTTGGAGCATTATATATGAGTATACCTTCCACATGTGTAATAAAACCGAATCTTTATGAGAAATTATGTGCCAAGAACAGTGTTAAATACTTGATCTAAATTACCTTACTTAATCACCATATCACAAATAAGGACCCAAAGCTTGGGAGTTTAAGTAATTGCCTAAACTAATACACATTGCTTGTAAGTGTCAGAGCCTATGAAAGCAAAAGCAACTTCTAGAAGACATATTAACAAGTGCTTTAAGACACTGGCAGACAATGGACAAGTATGCAATATTTAGCACTGATCTATTCATTAATATGATTTTTTTATTAAACAGAATTAAAATTAATGTGAGGTGTGCAGGGTCCTAGAAAAACTCACTGGTATAGACTTAAAGGTCAACTCATACCAAAGACCATATACTATGCATTATTCCTTTTGGTATGTGACTATGTTACAAGTCACAAATTTGAGTAATGGTTCTTGTATTAGACTACCTGTTGCCTAGTGGTCTCATAGTGTCCATTATGTTCACTATCATCTTATGCTCTTACCAACAAGGTCAGAAGACAGATCCATACAAACTTTGGACAATTTTATTTGAAATAATTTTCCTGGAGAAAAATGGAGAAGTTTAGCTATGTATTGAAATATCTAGTCAGCAGAACCATTTGGGTTGCATGTTCCGTTCCACTTTAAAGACCCATCTAAGGAACAGCAGCATCATTCTTCTTAACTGCCATGCCAATTTTCCCATTATGGGTATTTGCTGAGTTATATGTCATTCTTTTCTGGAAACTTTTTTTTCTAGGCTCTAATACAGAGTTTTAAACTCCTGATAAGTGTAATACAAAGATTACTTAGTCTGCCCTTGTAAAACAGAGGTATGAAGTAAAAAAATGAATTCCATCTCAAAGTAGTTAGGAGAACAGGAAATGCTGCAGAGAAACTGCATTAAGCGAGGCATGAAGAGAAGCTATTTCAGCCCTCTTGACTTGAGGGCAGGACACATATGCATTCAAAATAAAAGATTTCTTCAGGCTTAAAGATTTTTAACAATAGGAGCTGATGATCAATGAAGGAAAGAGGCATGCTCTAATGATTTTTTTTTGGACCAGATCAACTTGACCTTTCATTTTTTCATGAAATCCTCCAATAAATGCATCTACTCCATTTTTCTCTCAGCATCTCTAACAATTATTTTGATTCTCATGATTCAAATGGGTTTCTCAAAAGCTCTTATGAGGAGGAGAAGGAGAAAAGGAACCATGTTGCTCAAGGAGTGACAGACATATTCAAGGACGGCAAACAAAGAAAATTAATATGATCATTTAAAAAATACACTCCCATCCCATGTTTCTGCTCATTAAGCTTGAGTATAGTGGCTGTTTATATGTGATTTTTTTCTCATCAACTATGGCATGTTTCCCTTTAAACTATCACATATTCTGGCACTTTTTGATACTTTGCAACATCAACCACAATGCCGAGCATGCCAAAGTCCCCTAATGAGATATTTTAATATATTAATCAAAAGATCATTTGGTAGATCAATAAAAACAATTGGCTGATTCTTAACTAGCAAATTGCTTGGAAATAGTATATGTATATTCTTGTCAACAATACATTATTATTAGAACGTGTACTGCAACTCAGAATACTACCAGAGAAGGCAAGTGTTGGTCTTAATCTGCCTCATGGTTCACTGGCTTTGCTTTCAGAGAAGCACCTGATTTCTCCAATGGAGAAACAGAAGTGAAATGGGAGAAAAGGAGAGAAGACAGCACAGACTTTGAAGACAGACTTAAGAAAAAAAGGGAGAAGAAACAGTAGGGGTAGATGAAGAGAAAACAGTGCAAAAATGAGAAGACAGACTAGGAATAGTGAAACTGTGGCTCAGGGGAATTTGTGAAACCAATCTGAGTATATCTTTGCATGATGAGAATATAGAAAATTACCGTATACCTTTTTTGGCTTTTTTTAGAGGATACAGAATTTCATATGCATTCATTTGCTGAATTTCTGAGGTCATGAAACAGCCTACTGAGCATTTTAGTTAAATCTTTATAAAATGTAGATAGCAGTGTTGCTGAGGATATGACCCAATGATGTGGGATGACTCTGAATATGGAATTATGTGACTGAAAACACTATCCCAGAAGCCCTTGTTAAAAATCAATTAAAGAACTAAGATTTAAAATATTTAGACATGTACTCACCCAACAGACAGGAAAGGCTCCTTTGACTCAAGTCTGTGAAAAAATATGAAAAATTTACTTTAACATAGTAATTTGCTGTACACTTAAAAACTGTTTTCATATGAATCTGACAAAATTATTATACTTGTTTAGATGAAAATGTACACTTTAGCACTAATAAAAAGCTACAAATAATATATCAAGATCTAATCTTGACTAATTCAAATTCGGGCTGTCTTAATGCAGAGGCTAAATAAAATGAAAAACTGGAATGGGAATGTAGCATTAAATGATACATTAAAGTAATAATACTGTCAGTCTAATTCTGATTTGCACTCTCTATATCTACTTATTTCTTTTTTTAATAGGAATTTGTAGAAGTTTTGATATATCTATTTGTGGCTGTTGTAGTAGTAAAGACATTTATAATGTATTTGGTTACATACTGGCTGAGTAATTTGTTTTTAGTAAATACTCTGTAACAAAGAAAGCAGCAGAGTGACATTCATGGTCATTTATGGGCAGGAGCAAGACTGGGGGGTGGGCTGAGGGGAAGTCAGATCAACAGATTAGAATATTACTGCCTCCTCTGTGTCTCCTAAGAATCAGGTATTTTTGTACCTCCTAACATATTAAAAAAGAATTCTAATTCTGAAGCCTCCGATTAGCTGTGGCATCTTGAGCAAGCCACTTGAAAAGCTTTCTGGGGCTTACTTTTCTCACTATAAAATAGGCTAGTATTGTTTCCAGTTAATTTTCATATTTCACAAATTAATTGTATATTCTTTGCAAAAAGCAAATCAATCAGGAGAGTATACACTTCTAAATGTTCCCTGGTTGATAACTAAGGAGACCAGTGGTGGTTGTATATTGGCCACTTCGTTTTCATACAAGTTTCTTAACATAAGATTATCTGTTAAATAAAGACATTTTTATCTGAATTCTGGTGTTTAAGATCTTTAAAGAGCCTTCGTGTTTTAAAATATTTTATTTACATGTAAATAGCTGTGGGAAAATGGTAGGAAATTTAATCCTGTAACCAACACCACACAAGCTGACTACATACTGAAGTGGACAATTGAAAGGGCTTGTCATAGAATTAGGCCAAAATACTGTACTTTTATATGAACCTACACAATGAAGGCAATAATCACTTTTTGTCTCTATTTTGTTTTGTGCTTATAAAAATAGTTTATTATAAATATGCCTTGTCCCACTTAATGGGCAGAGCTGACACAGCTCCCTGCCACTTGTCATGCTGCTTTAAGTGAACAATCATAGCCCGAAGGGCCTCTTTTAGGGAACAGGCACCCTAGCAATCCCTCTGGGCAGTGGCAGGTAGGGAAGCAGAGAAAACCAATAGATTGTTCTCAGAGTTTGGATGCATACATTTATGCAGCCTTTTCATTTTCTGAATTCTGATTTTATTCACACCTCCCTGGAAATTATTTGCCATGTTGTGTGTTTGTTGTTCCCATATATTTAAGATATGATTAAGCAAACAGAACTAAGGGGAAAAAGTTGAAGATAAATAATGAAATATATTTGGATATGCTTGTTTTATAAGACATGACCAGTGCTAAGTGATCAAAAGAAATTACCTAGAAGAAATGAGGGGGATTTTATGCAGTGTGATGCAGGGGACCATTTATTTATTTGTATCATCAACATCATGACAGTAATGATTTTCCATTACACTCTAATCAGCAATACTTAGTAAGTAGATAACATGTGGGTATTAAATGGGATCCCTTTAGCCAATAATTTCAGACTCACACCTGTCAGATCTTAGTGTATGTGTGTAATTTGCTTGTTTGAGGTGCTAGCCCACAGGCTCCTAGTTCCCCGTTCCTGCTCCCTCAGTGTCCCCCTTGCTTCTCACTGCTCCCTGTTTCTAAGCGGCATTGAGGAATCCAGTAAAAGAAACACTTAAAATATCTGATTCCTCTCGTTTTCATCCTCCACATCTCAATGAGCAATGCACTGGCAATTTTTCCTTTATGTGACTTTCACATCCCTCTCTTCACTCTATTCCCAGGCTGGTTCTCATTATTTACCCCAGCCTAGCTGGTCTCTCCAAACGTAAATTCTTTGTTCACAGCTGCTGCGACTTCACACTGTTTCACACTAAAACCTCCTTCAGTGTCCCCACTCATATCACGCAGGCCTGGTGCTGTTTTCATTGAAGTTATCACAAACGACATGAAGAAAAGAAAGACCCACCATTTTGCCTTTCCCTGTGCAATTACTGAAACACTGAGTCAGAATGTGTTTGAAGTAGTATTTACTTATTGATTTTCCTTTTCTTTTTCTAAAAGCTTCAGACAAACGGTGGATTGGAGCATTGTAAGGACATATGTTGCCCCACCGGCACCCGTGGTTGATATGGTTAGTCTCACTAGCCAGTGAATTGTCTCCTTCTTCTTTTACTACTCAACTCACTTCAACTATTTCCTCCCAAATGTTCAATGGAAGAATTCAGGGGAAAATTCAAAAGTTTCAAAGTGATACTGGATTGAGAGTTCTGACTGATGTTCTATAAACCAGGGATTGGTGAACTCTGTTCTACAGGCCAAATCCTGCTTACCACAAACCCGCAGCTTACCCGACGCGGGGCTCAAACTCACGGACCGCGAGATCATGACCTGAGCCGAAGTCAGCTGCTTAACCGACTGAGCCACCCAGGCGCCCCACAAATTAGGAATGACTTTTCCTGTTTTTGTAGAACCCACAAATTAGGAATGACTTTTATGCCGTTGACACACAATGTTACATTAGTTCTAGGTGTACAACATAGTGATTCAGCATCTCTACCAGTTGGGCCATGCTCACAAGTGTGCATTTTTCTTTTCTTTTTCTTTTTTTCTTTTTAACTTTTAAGTGTTTATTTATTTTTGAGAGACAGAGACAGACAGGGTGTCAGTGGGGGAGGGAGAGTGAGACGGAGACACAAAATCTGAAGCAGGCTCCAGGCTCTGAGCTGTCAGCACAGCAGGCCTCAAACCCTCGAACTGTGAGATCATGACCTGAGCCGAAGTCAGATGTTCAACCAACTGAGCCACCCAGGTGCCCACAAGTATGCATTTTTAGATGGCTGAAAAATATCAAAAAAGAATAGTACTTTTTGACACATGAAAATTATATGAACTTTCAAATTCCAGAGTCCATAAATAAAGTCAACTGAGACACAGTCATGCTTATTCATTTACATATTGTTTAAGGCTGCTTTTGTGATATAGTAGCAAGTTGAGTAGTTGTAACAGAGACTGTACGTCCACAGTTTGAAAATATTTACTCTATGGCCTTTATAGAAAAGGTATGTCAACCTGGGTGGCTCAGTCGGTAAGCGTCCGACTTCGGTTCAGGTCATGATCTCCCAGTCCGTGAGATTGAGCCCTTTGTCGGGCTGTATGCTGACAGCTCAGAGCCCGGAGCCTGCTTCAGATTCTGTGTCCCCTCTCTCTCTGCCCCTCCCCCACTCACACTCTGAGAGAGAGAGAGCTCTCAAAAGTAAATAAAAACATTAAAAAAAAAAGTTTTGCCAACCTATAACTATATTGCTGAAAGAAACTGGAAACAACCTGTCAAAATAGGCACTCTTTATTTTAATATATATCAAAATATTCTCCCAGAATTACAAGTTCAGTATAATTTAAATTACCTTTCTACATCACCAAATCTCTGCACCTACTGCTGACAGATCAACTCTCCTACAATGCTATTTTCACGTCACCATATTTCTTGACAATTTTGATAACCATAGGAAGATGCCCAAACTTTTAGTGTGTCATTCGAAAGCTTGTGAGAAACATGCCTCACGCTAACTTTCCATGTCGCTCTTTATTACTTCTCTTACCAACCACTTTATTCCAGGATATTTGTCTATTTGTGACTTAAACAAATCTCCTTTGATGTCTTTAAGCATTCTTTTTCTGTACCAGAATACTAGTTTTTAATTCCTTTCCTTATGATCTATTTGTCTTATGAGTTTATCTAACTCCTTCATAAAGCTAATCCTGACACCTTCATCTTACAGGGACAGTCCTGTCACTAAGCTTCTATTACTTATTATCTCAATTACTATGACATATTCTCCAGACAATAGTCTTGGGTTAAAAGTCTAGCTTCCAGTTTCAAGATTGTAAGAATGTTAAACTTGCAAGTCTGCTTAGAGAAGAAGCTCATCAAAGTTCTGTGTTAAACCTTCCAATGGTCCAAGGGAGGTTCTGGCTGATGCTCCACCAGCTGAGCAGAAAGGAAAGATTATTGTCCATTAGTCATTCCAAGCCACTGAAAATGAACCCTAGGTACCTGGAGCCCCAAGCATTTTCAGTGGTGATACAGAGCAGGAAGTCTGTGGGGAGCCACCATCAGGCAATCCTATGCCATGTCTCATCCTCAAAATGATGGCACACTGTAGAGGGAGGTGATAACTGGCCCACACTGAACAATGCTCTGCTTTCTAACCAACTGCTTAGTCATGGTTTCATTACATAAAGTCAACTTCCCCAGCCTTGAGTTAATTCAGAGATGTATTTTTTTTTACATATCTTCTCATTAATTATATAGCCAACATCAGAAGCAACTTACAACATATCTTGTGAAGAGTATGAGATTATGTACTTAGAGCAACTAACACAGTTCCTGGCACAGAGTAGACTGTGATGGTCATGACCATGCCAAAGATAGGTTGTTAATTCTATGCGCTGAAACTGCCTGAAAATGTGAAAAGCTCACACTTGTGATTTTAGTCCTGAAAAGTGAAAAAAAAAATGCAAAAGAAGGAAACTACCAGGAGAAATATCCCTTTGGAGAAAATTGTTTATCAGTGTAATCCTTAGAAACATATGATTACATTGTGATATGCCCAGAGAGAACTTTTCTGAGTTTTTTAAACAAGGTAATTGCTTTGTGAAGAAAAGGACTGGTTTTGTCTTTCCTAAGATTTACTTTTAACATGAGCTGGGTAGTGAATTTAATAATACTTCATTCAGGACTGGCTAGAATTAGGAGTATAATAAGATAAACAAACTATAGCCTTTGGAAAAATAGGC